AAGCGCTACCTCATTTGATTTCTTTTCCTTCCACGATACTCTTAGCAGTCTCCTAAGAAACCACATTTCTGTTGCCTCTTTGTGGTTTCTTAGGAGACTGCTAAGAGTATCGTTTTGGGGTACTTTAAAATAATAGCAGATGCTTCACCTCGTTATTCATGACAATTCTTTCAATTCGGTTTTTATTGTCTAAAGCATAGAAAGGCAGGCAACAGCATGTCGTACACTATTTAAAAAATGCAAATGTTTGTTGCTTATTAGTGCATGAAGGTTCGAAATGTGCCTTAACAATGCCATTAAGCAGCTGTTGGTCAGACATAGGTGTCCATTACGTCGTTAACGAGTTAATCAGACCCTCAGTGGCCTGTACCTAACCCTTTTTACCTGGACAAACTGATCATAAAATAGCTAGAAATAACACAATATAATCCAGTTGAGGGAACTGGCGGACCTAGGCTACATTGTGTAAATCTAACGACAAAACACGATGCAAACTAATTTGAATTAAGAACAATAACTCGAAAAGTAGCCCAGCCTTATCTGGAAGTCCAAATACCGGCTTGTTACTATTTTTGATTAGTTAGAGCACGTAGATAGCTTGTATGTTCTCTAACATTAGAGCAAACCCCTAATTTTTGGTTAGAGAAAGTGGATTCTTCCTTCAAATGTTCCCTCTTGTTCTATTTATAGATGTTCGAGGCGTATGGGGATTCCCCGTGTGCTCACTTGTCTTTCCAGCAATGTGAGACAGGATTTGGTCTATATCACAGGTACCTGCTACATGATCATTTTAATTGTTCCTCCTCACGGGCAATTCTTATCCTTTTTTAAAAATCTATTAAGAATAATTTCATATTCATTTTTGCGCTCAATTTACACCTTTTCGGTCCATCTAAACACACATTCCTATGTGAATTTTACTGGGGAAAAGTTGATCAAAGCAAGAAAAATTTTAATTTGCAGTTTCCATTGACTCTAAAGTATTGGAAGTCACCAAAATTTGGCGGGTATTTTCTGTCTAAGTGTACCTCGGACACCAGGCGACCCCCTCCTTATTCAGTCACAAGTGTCTCGACCTCTGTCAAAGATAGATGGGTATTTCTCCCAAAAGCAAGACTTAATATGAAGCAGCTTTAAGATGAAGCCAATAACTCCATATGCCCCAACACTGACGAACACCTGGTTTCTTCGTGATGTGACACAAACAATATTATTTCTCATTTCTCATTTCTCATTTCTCGTTTACTATTTCTTTTTTATCAAATGTTGTTTTTTTTCTGTGGCGCCGGTGGTCTAGTGGTTAGGCCCTTTCAGAGCTGGACTCTGAGGTCCTGCCTCGTAAATAACCTGTTAGTGTTATTAATGAGGTGCCTTAAATCTAAACCATTTTACCTTTTTTTTTCTCCTAGAGAGCCGTTGATCCGTCATGCCGTCATTGAACCATGGCTTGCCTGTGCCTCCAACAAGTTCTGCATCTGCCCCGTAGAGCAGATAAAGGTACAGAGGTGCCCGCCCATCCCCCCAAAACACATCGGCGTGTGCATGCGCAATGAGCAGTCGGCCATCAGCATCATCCTGGCCAAGCTGTTCAGGGAGAAGTATTACCACTTCGCCGTAGACGTCAGCTGGTTCCAGAACGCCGCCAGAGACCAGAAGTTTGAGTACTTTAAGTTGTTGGAGGAGAGGCAGATGAATGCCAGTGCGACCGTGAAACATTGAGTACAGTGACGAAGGGGGGAGGGGAGGGGGAGGAGTGG